AATGAACCCTAGGTCTAGATCGACTGGACACTAAAGAGAACACTCGCTATGCTAGCTGACGGACGATTGGTGTCACAAAGGGGTGACGCACAGACGATCATGGGTGGAATAGTTGATAAGGGGAGATTAGATACAAAAGTTACAGTCATTACAGAAAATAAACTTTGCCCGAGAGAAGATGTTGCATAAAGTAGCAGGCAAGCTGTCAAAAGAAAAGTGACACTCTGCGGTGCCGAACCCCATCATTCTGAGGTCCATTTTGGGCATCAACCCGGACTGAGTTCCAATCATGATCGGACCTGCTCCAGGAACAGTATCAAACAATTCAGAGATTTGCTCGGTGATACTGACGTTCTTGAGGATTTGTACCCGTTTCAAGTGCGATTCTATGCCGCCAGTGTCTCGAGCCTGTCTAAATCTCCAACCCAAAATCTGCGATGACGAGTGAGACTTGCTCACATGTTTATTTTTCCAGACCAAGATCTTCTTCACGGTGGTTACAGGACATAGAGGATGTTTATAAACGCTTTGCATTGACTGTGATTGGTACTTCTAATACCTTTCTTGTCACACCCTACCAAAAACTTGCCGTCTATGCAAAACCCTCCTCTAGCTCTAGCTCTAGAAATCAAATGAAGCAACTAATGTAATCGCCTTTGACGTCTATCATCGAAAAGGAAACCACCCGGTGAAACCGCTCGATGGAGCCCATCCCTCCAAACCTCACTGTTCAGAAGAACCTGTATCTCCTCGCAGCACCCAGGCTCACCACCACGATCGCAGCAATGACTCCAATTATACCAAAGAACCAGCCCAACCCCTCGCTGCTTTTCCCTGGCACTGGCACGTTCATACCAAACAGACCACAAATAAGATTCAGCGGCACCAAAATCGTCGCCACCAGTGTGATCTTCGACAAAACTTCGTTGGCCCGATTGCCCTGTGCGATAGCACCGACGCTGAGCTGTGCTAGATAGTTGGAATGGCTGCGCGAGAGCATCTTCTCGAAGTGTCCCAGATTACTCATCATAGTGACGACGTGGTCCTGTATGTCGCCAAGGTAGAGGCCAATTTCGCCACGAGGCGTAACGCTGTATTGTTCGTTGCAACGTTTAGCGAAGCCTTTGATGACGTCCGCTTTTCCACCTAGCAGGCGCATGAGGGACATGACTTTCTTGCGGCATTCGCCAATCTGGCGCAACAAGGGAGTGAAATCTTCGACGCGGGCGACGAAGACCTGGTCTTCGATCGTATCGGCTTCATGCTCAATGGTGTGGATCGGCGGACCAAAAGTGTCGACGATATTGTCGATCATGGCGTAGCAGATCCAGTCTGCCGTGAGGGCCATATAGTCGCGGAGCTTGCCAATACGCTTGCGGACGTTGGCAGCATGGGGAGATGGTGTGTAGGTAATTGTGATGATACCTTCGCGGAAGACGACCATGTAGACGTTTACAGGCTCCATGTATTGTTCACTGTTGGTGTCCATTTGGAAGAAGGAGCGGAAGCAGACAAAGTAGTACTGTTTAAACAGTTCAACTTTTTCACGGGCTTCTTGGGTGTTGATGTCTTCAGTGGTCAGGCGATGGATACCAAAAGCGCGTTGGAAAACGTGAAGCTCTTCTTCGGTTGGATTGAGAATGTCGAGCCACCAAACACCGCTGTCATCTGGAAGCTCGAAGAGATCGCGGCATGTTTCACCTGGGGAAAGCAAGTCTGCAAAATCTGCGGCGTGGACGGTTGACTCAATCTCCGAAGAGAAGAAGCTATATCGACTCGGTCCTGCTAGGCTGTGTCGACGCTCTCTAGGCCCATTTACACCCAACGGATCCCCAGCTTTCTCATCGGCGCCATCCTTGTCATTGATCGCAGTATCGCTATCGTCAATGACACTTTCTGACCCAATCTTGAGCGAACTGGATGATTGGGTCATGATCTCGGGAACAGCCGCATAGCGGAGGTCGTTGAAGATCTGGGGCTTATTCCCCTGAGAGCTAAAGCTAAGTTTCTGCCTTAGACCATGCCCATTATGTGCTTTCGATTTCAAAGTTTCTGCAACGAATTCGTCCAGCTCCTCGAAGTCAATGTTGTAGGTCTTTGCAGATTCATCAATTGTAGGAAAGCAGACATCGTCTTCCGCTGGGTTATGGACGGAGGCGCGCTCATCCTTAAGGCTCAAGTTCCGGACGCTGCCATTATTGAATGTAGGTCGACGACTGCGACAATGGGTACCACCTGAGACGGTGCGCTGAAGACCAAGGTCAAGGTCAGAAGGCGCTCTGCTGCCAATTGTGTTTGCTCTTTCGCGTCGACGTGGGTCAGCAAAAGCATCAACAGAGTTTGCAGGCGATGTAGACCGAAAGGAGGTCGAAGAGTCTCTGGACCGATTGGGATGGTTTTGGCTTCTCCGAACAGTCCCACGCCTAGAGGTGGCAGGATTGAAAGACCCTCTTCGCTCTATGATATTCTCTCCGATTCCGCTCTTGTCATCGTCAATGATAGCTTGCTCGAAATCCCTAGATATGGATCCTGCGTTGAGGAGTTCGTCGTTGACCTGAAGGAGCTCTGGGCGGCCTCCGCTGCCAACGTTTTGAAATAAATGTCGCCCTTCAAGTGGGCTGCGAGGGCTTTGCGGACTGCCAACGGTATCGCCGCGTGGACGTGTAGAGGGTTGGTGGCGATGATCGTCGAGATCAGAAACGGGAGTGCTGAACCTCGTCTGGGATCTCTCTGATCTTGGAGAATCCATTGTAGCTATTGCTCGATATACTGGTCGACGAACTTGAAGATCTTGGGGTGATGCTTGTTGTAGTGATATGTAGGTACGAAGCCACTCAGTTTTTGATTGTGTGAAAGGGCAAGCGAGTCCCCGGAGCGTAGAGGACCGGGCCCTCAGCTCTGCCCTCTTCTTGAGCCAGCTTTAGGTCTGTTCAGGGCATGAATATCCGATGTGGTTTCGTCTTCTCCTAACTTGTTTGCACTTTTGTGTTGTCGTGTTGGCTCCCCAGAGCCCAATTATGGAGGCTTGAGGTCGCCTCCCAGGAAGACTCGAACTCTTGGTCCTAGGAGAGGTCGGATGAAGGAAAAGTGGGTGAAGCGAGGCCCCGCCAACTTGATGGTATTGATGTGATAGGAAGCCAGACTGGAGATTCGAATGTGTTCACGAAAGACTATGGTAGCCTTTCGTTCTCTCTATGAGGGATTTTGCTTTGCAGCGTTGACCGAACAGAAGCTGCGTCGGAGATAGGAAGGTGGGTAAGCCAAAGCGAAAGCGAGAAGAAGGATGATGGCAGGACAGGTTCTATGAGAGGGATAAATAGTGTTCTGAATGTGGTGTTGTGATTGATTTTGATGCAAAGTTGGAAGTTTCGTAGGTGGAAGTGGGCAGGTGATGGGATGAGCCTTTTTTTTCTTTCACGTTTTCTTTATGACGCTAAGCTACATAACGCTAAGGCCCAATACGGCAGATTGTACCGGCTGAGGCATTTCTCCGCCCGAGGTTTGTTTTAGCGGTGATATGATTGTGGGTGGGATTCCACATGCACGGCGTCACCTATCCTTCCAGCGACCCATACTCAGACGATGGCCACAACTACGACAACTTAATACTTCACGTTGAACTCCGTCTTTGCAGAAGCCCCACCCGTCCTCTCCGGCAGCAATACACAGACAAGCGCTTAGCGCTCCAATAACGACCTCGAAAGATAGCTTAGATGTGCTCTCTGCGCAAGTTAGAGGACACAGGTCGGAGCAGTACCAAGCGCATCCTTTGAGTCAACAAATTTGCCGTCAGCGGCAGCCTCAGGACCACTCTCTTTGGTGAGAAGCAATGCGGCTCTTCACCTTGATTTCTAAACGGGGGCCACAGGAGCCACTGCAGCGACTGACCCTACCGGTAATGGTACGTGGACATTTTCGAAGAGTGGATAGGATGGATATGACTACTGTACGAGAAGAAGAGTTTCGCGAGTGTCCCCTTTCAACTTGCCTTGCTAGGTATAAGTGACTCATGTGGCACTCGTCATACCTGAGTCATTGCCATTAACGACCGCTTCTACCAGATGTACTACGCTACGTAGTACCTGCAAACCTTGATAAACTCCGCCAATGATACCAAAATGCGAGGATCAAGGTACCTTCTTGCTTTCTGGGAAGAGCCGCCGTCAAATGTGTCGAGGGGCAGGCAACTAGATTTGACGCATTTAGATTATTGCTTGGCACCTTTTGCACTACATAGGTAGCTAATTACCTTGAGTACACTAACAAGTGATTCTACACCATTGTGCATATAGCATCTTGCACCGTCATGAGTTCATGACTGCCTAGAACACAGATTCACCTGCAACCCCATTACCTTTGCTATCCTTGATCGTCGTTCAATTAGCACTCCTCGAACCAGCTTTACCTGAGTATGCACATGAAGTCCGGAGGACCTTCTTGATTATGGACACCCTGTCTTCGCTCCCAGCTCGTTAGGCTGTCACGCCTCGAAATCACGACAGAACCTTCTGTTCCTCTGAACAAAGCCTGGGAATCCTGTCGTTCGTTGAAAGTGCGCTGTCTTCCTTGGATATTCGGCGCTTCCCCTATCTGCCAACGATGTATCAAGTCCGATCGAGGATGCGTCTTTGCGCCGCCGCAGAGGAAGCGTAGCGGAAAAAATCCGAGCCACTGATGAACTGTGAACTCGCCTCTCAGTTCATTTTCGCCTAGCCAAACCAATTCTGGCCAGTCATCTGCTGCAGTGACGACTGGACTACCCAACTCTGCCCCTCAACCCGTAACAGGGTTCAGTGGCGGACTTGTAAACGTAAGAGCCTCTACTGCCAAGCTGGACGCGATCGACCGTGGTCTCTTCTATATGGAGACTGACACCGAATTGTTTGAAACCTTCACAATTCACTTCGCGTCCAAAACGCCGTCGTTGTCTTTTCGAAAGGCTACACTGTGGACCAGCTTCCGCGCGAAAAGCCCGTATTGTTCCAATGTTCCTAGCAATCATGGCCATCGCATCGGGCATGGCACAACCCGAGCTGTACAGTACCTTGAGCACAGGAGCTATTCAGGCGTATGGCAACTGGTTAATGATCGGTCGGCAGCAATCGTTTGGAGTCAGTTCAGGCCACGACCACGACCACCGTCTGGTACTATCCCGCGGGCAGTTGGTCGTCCCATAACGACTACGAGTATATCCAATTTGCATCCACCATAGCCAGGGATCTTGGTCTTGGGCGAATTCGAGCCCCGGCCGAGGAAAAGCTCCTCTGTACCTGCAGAAGGCTCTTTCTTCCTTGGTCAAGGCATGACCTTTAACAACACCAGCAATGCCACTCAAGAGGTCAAGGTCGAGCGGCAACGAACCTTGTTGGTCTGCTACGTCAATCCGATTGCTCTCGTCAAATTGCTAGACATGGCGGAGGAGATAAATTCTGCATATGCTCGGACAGACAGCACAAAATGAACAGCGCTCCCCAACACTCACGGTCCACAAGTCATCAATCGATTTAAGACGCGACTGCACCTTTGGCGAGAAACGTACAAGCACACAGGTCTTAACCGTAAGTTTCAATCCTCTTGACCATTTTGAAGAATTCTTTGATGGCATATCGCGGTTTTGTCTGAAAGAATTGTTAACCTATGCCATGATCTTGATTCACGAACCCTCCCTTTACCAGTACTATCAGCCAGATCTGTTCAAAACGCCATATACTATGGATACCCAGGAAAGAGGTCTCGCTAGTGCACCTCATCTGCCTACAACATCCTTTTCTCAATGTGTTGCTTCTGCCCACGCTCTCTGTGAGTTGTTTGGAGCGTGGCACGTGAATGAAATATATCCATTGCCAAACCATTCGTTCAATCGAGACATATACGCACTGGTTGTTCTAGTCAAGACGGCGCTGATGGCCAATTTGTTGCTGAACCCAGCTCATCAATCGCGTACCAAGACGTATCAAGAGCTGGCCCGTACGTGAATTTGTGCCTCAAACAGTTGGTGGAAGCCGCGGGCACGATAGAGTACAGGATGCCTTACAAGTTTGCTGGAATGGCCATCGGCTTCGCAATTGAGAAGAAAGCGACTACGAAGTTGTAGGGTTACGGAAAGATATCTCAAAGTCTGGAGTTTCGAAGCGAGACGAATCACATCATTTACCTCTCTTTTCTCTTAACTTCTAGATTTTACTACAACAACAATCGAGCCTGAATCTTTTGCATATAATGTCCCCACTATATCTTCTCGCAATCCTAACGTCGCCGATTTTTCCACAATTCGACTCACAGCCTTAAAGGTGGGTTCCCTTGAATCAGAGACGTGTGCCTCATCACCCTTCCGATCCACCCCTCACATCTCCAAGTCATCCGCAACAGTTCGAATCCCGAGGCACTGCCCTTCCTTCACGATCGTTGTTCCGCGACGACCCTATTCGGCAGATAGATAGATAGATCGATAGGACGAATCTCCACTGCCTTCATCAGCCCGGAGACAAACCCGTAAGAGACTCCCCTCCCCCGTTCCAGAAGAACACTCGAAGCTTCGCGCACAAGGAAGGGCTCAATGATGGCCTGCAAGGCTCTGAAATTCATCTCCTGGATTGAATCCGCGGTCGCCCTTTGACTTCCACTTGCCCCGTCATGACCGCGATCACCTTTTTCTTCTTCTTCCCGCTCACTCACAAACCCGCTGCCATTTTCTCCAGGGTAGTTGGTTGATAGATACCCGAACGTACTTTCCCCACCCCAGACCTCCCATCAACGAAACTCTTCGCCCTCTTTGACCGGCCCTTGCTCTCGCCGAGGCCGGCCTCCCCTGGGGTGGGGGGAGGGTTTCCGTTCTCGCCCTTCGGACGGACGTGAGCGTTCGAGGTCTACCTGCACGTTTCGATGTTGCCGACGGAGCTGCAGATGGCGCAGGGTTCCGATACGGGCGGTTGCGACGCTGTGATTGTGCATGTTGGGTAGGGAGGCGAGAGGTTGAGGGTGGATGAAGCGGTTCGTCGGGATTACCTACGGCTGGCGGTGCCTGCTCGGCGTAGTGGGTATGGGCGTTGGACGTCTACAGAACTGGGCGGCGCTGTCTCGGATGTGTGCATCTCACAACTTGCCGTCCGGTGTGGGTATCCGCACCCGCTGACCAGTCTAAAACGTCACCTCGTGTTGTAAAACACGCAGTCTGGCCAACCTCTGGAGACTCACTCGATTCAAGGCCGTTATTATACAGCGTGGTCTCAAGCACCATCGTTCCTCACCCAAATCATCCCTTAGTTGAATTGTAGATGATAGCTCCAACCTAAACAGCACCAGCAACGCAATCAATGACTGCATCCCGACAAACTTCCGACCTCTCCTCCCTTGGGGTGGAAAAGGATTATCGCGATGAGGGGGCTGCGAAAAAATTTCAAATCGCATTTTCTAGAATTTCTAGAATTTCTACCATCTTTTTGAACTCGACAACGACAAGCTTGATTATAAATTCTCCGGTATATAAAATGCCACCTCATAGCTAATACTACAAATCATAGAGTGAAATTTTGATTGACTCAGCTTCACATCTCGCCCTTGTTGCAATTTCTCCCCCCCCCCCCCAACACGCCGAACGCCGTTCCCCTTCTCTCTACAACATATCAGTACTACTTGGGCACGTCATAAGTCGCTTCCAACGCATTGTAGTGCGAAAATAGCTTGTTAGGATCATATTCATTCTTGAGCGCATTCAGCCGCGGCAGCTTGCGTTCAGTGTACCATCCCAGCTGCCCTTCGTCGCCGTGCCCGTAGTGGACGTAGACTTCGATGTTGCTGGTGCTAGCGCCACTCGTCGGGACGAAGAGACTGCGAGCGTCGCGGCCGACTTGGGATGCGGCGGTGGCGAAGGAGCTGTTTGGGAAGCCGACGTCGAGGAGGCTAAGGTTTGGGGAGACGGTCGTTAGTTCTTTGGTGGGAATGGGGGGGGTGAGGAAAAAGGTGACCCACAAGCGTGCGACAGCGTTGCGGTATGGATAGGCGGTTGCGTCGTCGGGGACAGACTCGATGACCCGAGAGGCATACATGTCGATTGCGAGGAATGCTTCGCGGAAGTCGGGGTACTGCGCGTAGACGGTGTCCATGTAGCTGACTGCGTCGATGAGGGTTGGTACGTCGATTTGGTAGAGATTCAGGCCCCAGACGCTGTGGAAGTTTCCTTTGATGCAGGCGAGGGCGTCGATGCCGAATTTGGACGAGGTCTCGATGTCTTTCCACGGGATCATGGTGATGTTTTGGTCGAATGGCCCGAGTTCTATTATTGGCTGGATGAGCGCCATGCCCTCTTCCAATGGGCCAGCGTAGATGAAGTTGGCGAAAAGATATGTCTGGAGGTAATGTCAACGGGCACTTTTCGGCTGTAGGAGGTGGTTGGTTGATGACTTACGCCTCCGAATGCCTCGTTGTAGGCGATTGCTATGTCTATTGAGAAGGCGTCCGGTAATTTGCCAGTATAAGACCGCGCGAACTCGTAGAGGGATGCGTTCTGACTGGCATGGAACCTAAAATCTGCGCTCATGGCTTGGCCGTTGTTTGTGAAAGTGTAGACTTGGTACGTGGCTGACGTGACGATGCCGAAATTGAAACCCGCGCCTCGCATGCCCCACCACAGATCGGGATGGCTTGTCGCTGAAACATTGACAAGAGAGCCAGTACCTGTTACCATTCTGACCGATTGAAGAGCGTCGAGCTGTAAACCGTGCAAACCTCCGTAGGGTCCAACACCGCCGCCAAGTGAAGCTCCGACTAAGCCGACGCAGGAGCATGAGCCAACCTCTGTGAACAAACCTGTTAGAGCATAACGCTTGCACGGTGATAATGAGAAGAATAAAATCAATGGTGATTTACGTACGAAACTCTTTTCCAGCGTCGTACAACAGCCCTGTAATGTTGGCAAAGTGAACGGATCCGCCGACTGTCATGGTATTGGCGTCTTTATCGATGGAGACGGTATTGAAATGGCCAAGGTCGATCTCAATTCCGTTCTCGACCGTATCCAGAGTTGCTGAGTAGCCGTGCCCGCCGCCCGTGCCGAGAAATGATATGTTTTGATGATAAGCATATTCGATCTGTTCCCAAAAATTGTTAGCGGCATCTGTTTGTATCATTTGTCCCGAATGGCTTGCTTGAGTCGAATAGACGGACAATTTTTTGGACATCAAGATCGGTAGTTGGTTTCACAGAAACAATATATGTTGGCGCGCTGAAGGCGTTCCATCTCTGGGTAGTCTCTAGCGTATAATTGTTCTCAGAGGGAAGGTAAACCTCAGATGTGTCCGACAGGTGGCTCCTGAAGTAGGAGGCTACTTCTGGACCTGTCTGAGCACACACCGTTGTAATGACGAAGAGAAGAGTAAAGATTGACGATGGGAAATTCATGGCTTCGCATTACTTGATTGTGAAACTTAGTCCTCTCTAGTGAGGCGTGAGAGGGACACTGTTCTTTAAATCTCCAGCTTTCTTTTTTCCCCATGTCAGTTACGATCTCGATCCGGACACGCCACAGGCGAAACTCCCTGGCTATCTCCTGGACATAATCGGCAAGGGATTTGATGACGGCAAGACTCTAGGCCATTCTACTAGAGAATGTTCCGTGGTGAGTGGTAGATCATTAGAGTGGCAAGTCATTGAAAGGCTAAGTTGAGCCTCGGTCTCATCCACGCTCATGATTCAGACTTTTTTGGGCAACCCAGCCTATCATTGAAGTCCGAGCAATGGAATCCGAGGATGAGCTACAAAAAGGGTGTGTGAGATCCTGATAGGTAAGGTGTGCGGCGTCATAAGAATAGCAAGTCATTGGAAGGCTGAATCTAGGCTCGGTCTCGTCTACGTCCACGGTTCATAGGAATTTAGGTAGCTTATATTTCAATGAAATCCAGATATGAGCTGGCAAAAGGGTGCATGAGACCTTGATGGGTTAGCGCGGCGGCCTCATAAGAGTAGCAAGTCATTAGAAGCTGAAATGGAGTCTCGATCTCTTCCATGATCCATGAACTTATTGGGTAATTTCGGCTTCAATAAAGCCCAAATGCAACATAGGAGCTCCAAAAAGGGTGTGTGACAGGTTCAATGTTCCGATTCGGAGGTGGAAAGAGGACACATTCGGACTTCGGTAGATTTCAGTGCCTTAGTATCGGCAGGCCACTTCAACCCGATGCTAAAGTAGTGAGTGGTGGTACGACGGTCATCGGCCAATTCGGAGGAGAGAACTCGCTCCCACTTTGTCTCGCGAACTTCTTGTACCTCCAATTGCTCCAAGACCTTCGGCCGTAATTGGATCCAATGATTCACCGTGTGGCGCACTCTCATATCTCTCGACATAGCCTACAATAATTCAGGCAGTCATACATACTCAGGTACTTGCGGCAAGGACTGCAGCCGATTGCCAAAACAGTGTGACTTGATGCGGGACCACAATCAAGGTATCGGCATTATTTTGAATACCGCGAGCTCAATTCCAATCTGATTGCAGCAAGTCAATGTCGCAGATGCATCTGCTAAGCTTGGAACCCAGATTATGAACGATGGAAGAAGTCCGGTGAGGTGTATGTTGTTGGACTGTTGTTGGTTTCATACAAATCGCTATTAGCGTATGCACAAAGGTTCGGAATCCTTGGCGCTGAGAAAATCGCACACACCCCACCAAGAACAGTAGTGAATAGCTTCATCTTCTTCATTACCATAGTTCTATTACTACCCTACCTTCGTAACAAGTAAAGTTGCTATATACCTCGCTTAGCCATTTCTTGGTGTTTCTTCTGATGATTTTATATAGCTCCCAATTGACGTAGATAGCACACAATCAATCGAGCGAATGAAGGAGGGAAGGCCTGTAGGTATTGTGGGCGGAGAAAGAAATACCACGATATCGCTAAGCGAGGTATATAGAGATTTCAATTGTTATGATTGATGAAGCTATTCACTACTGTCCTTGGTGGGGTGTGTGCGATTTCCTCAGCGCCAAGGATTCCGGAGCTTTGTGCATACGCTAACAGCGAAATGTGCCCCCGCTAGTGGGATTCTCGGTACGTTAGTCTAAGGCCCGAATAGCGCACAGTCAGATATTATCTCATACACCAATGGCAGCAAGGATGAAAGAAGAAGACACTGTGATCTTCGAGATTAGAGAAGCTGAGTCTTGGGACAGTCTTCCAATTCGAGTATGAATAGAGAAAAATGGTAAAGTGGTTCGACTCACAACAAGCCGGAGTTGCTTTCCCTGACTAGAAAAGATCGTCATGCTGTTGTTAGCCTAAATCACCTTCAGAATATCATGTCCGGTCCTTGTGTCGCTCTTGCTCGCTCCCTCCCTCCCTCCCTCTCATCCTCTCATCCTCTCTTTCCACCTTGCTCAAGAGACTCGACCTATGACGCACTAGATCTTTCTTACTCATTACCTATCCTCCTTCCTTTGAGCTTTAGATACTATTGCCGATCGCCGTCGTCTCCTGTCAACTGAACTCACTCTGCTCACTCAAACCTACCTTCACCTACGTCCTCCCTCTACACAATCGCCTATTCCGAGTCCCCCATCTCCTAGTCGAGCTCCGCAGCAATGTCTGCCGAAGTCGTCGGCCGCAAAGTCGGCAGCGTCGGCTACGGCCTTCTCGGTCAGCGTCCCCGGCACTTTCAGTCATTTCAATCACACTAATCTCTCTTCGCAGGACTGACCCCGCGCTCCGCTATGCAACCCGAAGAGCAATCCTTCGCCGCAATGCGCGCAGCTCTATCCGCGAACTGCAACCTCTGGGACGCCGGCGAGTTCTATGGGCCGTCGCCTGATGTCAACTCTCTTACCCTGTTGAACAAGTACTACGCCAAGTATCCCGAGGACGCCGACAAAGTGGTACTGAATGTTAAGGGCGCACTCCAACCCAACTTCGTCCCCAATGGTAGCCCAGAATTTGTGAGACAGAGCGTGGAGCGTTGTGTGGAGATGCTGGGCGGGAAAGGCAAGATCGACATGTTTGAATGTGCACGTCGAGACCCGAATGTTCCCCTTGAGGCTACGTTAGCTACACTCGGGGAGCTAGTGAAGGAGGGCAAGATCGGTGGGGTCGCTCTGTCCGAGGTGAATGCCAATACCATTCGTGCGGCGGCTAAAATTACGAAAATCGTGGCGGTGGAGGTCGAAATCTCCCTCTTTTCTACGGAGCCCTTGTCCAACGGAATCGCCCAGACATGCGCCGAGCTGAATATTCCAATTATTGCGTGAGTTAACCGAATGATCACACTGTTCGTGGCTGATACTCTATCGACAGCTACAGCCCAATTGGTCGTGGGATGTTGAGCGGCCAAATCAAATCCTTCGACGATATCCCCGAGAAGGACCATCGAAGGATGCTACCACGCTTCCAACCACCGAACTTCGAAAACAACATGAAACTTGTCAAGCAACTTGAGGTTATGGCCCAAAAAAAGAAATGTACTTCAGCCCAGCTAGCCCTTGCCTGGGTCGTGAATCTGTCGGAAAACAAAGGGATGCCTACAATCATTCCCATCCCAGGAGCTAGGACTGTCGACCACGCCATCGAGAATGGGAAAGCAAGCGAGGTGGAGCTGACCGAGGAGGAAATGGCGGAGATTGACCACGTGCTTGCAACTTGCGAGGTGGCGGGTGACAGATACCACCCGGCTGGCATGAAGTCGCTCAATGGCTAGAATCCCAACCTTCTCCTGGTCAGAGGTTTTTGTGAAGGCTGTAGCCTTTCTCCGGCTACGGATTCGCCGAATTTGATGTCAATCTATTGCTTGATTGCTCAAAAGTCTGCCAATGGTCAGAGATCTGCTGCTTCTTTCCGTTCTCTTGAAGCTGGCGGGAATTCACATCGCATCGCTAGATAGGTAGTGACAAAGGTCAGATAGCTTACAGGAGCCGCCTCTGCAATCAGGGATGCATCAACCAAGGTTCCGAGCTGCAGCTAGAAAATAACACATCATGGGTCGGCCCCTCTGATGAACTGATTATGTACGTCGTCCAAAAAGGAGATCCAAGTACTATGACAACCCTCCTGGCGCCCAATCTTCTCGTGGAATTTAGGGTTCAAACGGGACAGGAGAGGATCGCCGGTATCAACCCCGCAATCCAGCTGAATGAACGGCGGAGGTTGGAGAGGGTTCTAAGGTACTTAAGGTACTTAAGTAGGTAACCGGTACGGCTATTGGAAACTATTGACTTCCTCACCTCACGCCCGGACAACAGCATAAGGTAGTCGGGAAGTGGGAACCCAGTTCGAAGTGCATGCACCATATTCCTTAATCGGCGCCGAGTTTCGCAAAAAGCGCTAATGCAGGCTAGTCTGTAGGAAATCCGATGCAAACATCTCAGGTACACACGACGCAAGCGCAGGGCGATCTCTTGATTGAAGGTACATAAGGTGCTCCTTTCATGCTCGTAGCTTTCATTGTCATACCTTAAGCTCGTAGCGTGACAGACTGGACCCTGAATTTACTCTTGTTGATCAATATCAACATGCCATTTTCCTGCATGACCATTTTCTTCACACTTCTCAATTTTTCAACGGGCCGATCATCATGGACACAGCATGAGTAAAGGCAAGCTGTTGCATCTTGAATCGACCGCTAGACCATGCAATTCTTTCCATTCCCTGTCAATCTTTTCCAAGTCTAGAAGAACCTCATAAGATGCTAACAATGGCTTTTCTTCCTTTCCACGTCTAGAGAAATCTCACGAGGTGCTGACAGCGGCTCTTTGTGAAAATCCAGTCTTATCGCCACCAATGTAGGCGGGAAGCACGAGCTTGCTTGCGAGAGATGACAGTACACACAAAGGGTAGGCGCGAGCGGCCAGACAGCGATGAGGGCATTGAAGGTGCTTTGATGTCTAGAATGTGCAGCGAGCTTGATTCTCTAGGTGTTGGGTCTGAGCGTTGTCACCATACGCTTTGAGTCGATTACGCTCTGATCAGGTACTTTCATTGGTCCGTTGTGGATGTTCAAGCAAGGGCAAGCAGATGCAGATGCATGCACGAAATTTACGACAATTCATCCGTGTTTGCTCATACGCCCAAGCTCGCTGCTGATTCTCTGGGCACCTCAAATCCTGCATCGCATATCCTGCGAACTTGGTGGTTCGGACTTGTGGTCAGCCACGCAGAGCATTTGGGATAAATCACTTGGCTCAGCCTCCGTAGCCCAA